ATAAAATATTAAAAAAAAAAAAAGAACCAAAGACCTTGTAATTCTATAAGTTTTGCTATAGCCGTCCAATAAGTCCCCCTTTCTCCTCTTAAGCTAACTATTGTTGGCTTCTGTTGTTTGTTGTCAAATAATTTTATTCCTAGATGTCCCTGGTAAAATAAGTTTGGAAAACCCCATGTAAAATAGTTCGCTTTACTGTAGGATTTGTCAGTGAATCCTTTCAAAAGGGGTAGTGTGTGCAGCTGTCCCATTGTTCTTTGACATTAACACCCTTCCCACCTTGCCCTACTGTCCCAAGAGATTAGTGGTCTGTTTATACAGACACACTCTGGGAAACTCTGTCCTATTCATACTTAGGACAAATGAATATGGCCGTAAGGATTCTGCCATTTCCACTTGGCATTTTGCTGGAAGCCTTTCTCATTTGTGTGTTGTGCTGTGTCAGCTGTCCCACTTTCTACAAATTTGTTGCCAGGAACCCATTATAATAAAAGTAAATAGAAAATGGTCTCTGCTTTAAAAAAATTCCCCTAATTTTCCCCATTAATATTATTCCTCATGTAGGTGCATAATTATCCCTTTATCCAATGTGCCACATATCAGGGCAAGGTGATCTGTTTCAGAAAATAGAACCAATTCATATACTACCCTACACAGAACTTGGTGAGAGAATCATATTTGGGGTAAGTCGCTTCTTGGCTTGCATGGCATTGGCAGAGGAGTTATTAGCAGAGAGATACAAGGACTCGGAACACTGGGCTGAGAGGTGTACCAGCCACTGGACCAGGCTGAGCCTCAGGCTGTTTAGTTTGTCCATAAAAAGAGGGTGGTGATAGTGTTCCTATCACAGGGACATTCTGGTGCTCAGATAAATTCATAGGGGTGAAAGTGCATTATGAAGGACAAAGCACCGTATCTGTAGGTATCAGCCTAGGCCCTCTCACTTCTAAGAGGCAGAAACCCACCCTGACCTAGCTAAAACAAAACAGGAATTTGTGTATTTGCATAAATGAAATATCCATAAATATCCATGAGGATTTTAGTTCTCCGGAGGGCTGGCTCCTGGGGGTTTCAACAATACTATCAAGATCTACTTCTCTCCATTTTCCGTACATTTACTGTTTTGACTCTTACCAGAAGAGGGGATATGAATTAATAAATATGCCCATGAAAATGAGTGAGAGGTTCCACAGTCCTCACCACTTATGTCAGGCCTTTGCTGACTGATGATACTTGCCATGGACTTGGGCCTGTGAGCTTGAGACCCATAATTACATTCGGCGTCAGGAAGAAAGGAGCTGTCAGTCCAACTTAGTCCTCCTTCCCTGAATGCTAGTTTCTAGCCAGTTCCTTTTCTTCTCCCATCAGGAAATGAGGGTGCTGGGCATATGAAAGACAACTTCTTATTTGGGGAGGTGGATAGGAAACACCCACTAGGGCTATAGTTATTAAACACGGATGGAACTGAATTGGATGCTCTCATCTAGCTGCTGGCTCAAGTTGGTAGGTTCATGAGTCCTTATCTGTAAAGGAAGGACTTTTGGCTTTCCATTTGAGGGAAAAGACAATTCCACTGCTGGAGAAAGGAAGGACGAAAGGAAGGGAGGGAGGGAGGGACAGAGGGAGAGGAGCAAGAAGCAAGGGCAGGGAGTCATAAGGGGCTGAGGGTGCCTGCAGAGCCCTAGGCAGGCCAGACTGGAGGGAAGGCAGAGGATTTTCCTGAACAATTCCCTTTTCTTCATGCCTTCTCTGCTCCTCCAGGTTTCTGTGGACATCAGTTTCCAGTTTTTAAACTTATTTTTATGACTATAAAAGTTAAATATGGTCATTGCAGATAAGAGAAACAAAAAACTATAAAGAAGCTGAAAAGCACTCCCTGATCCCACTGACTGGGACCCAAAGTTTGAAGAAACCAGGCCTAGAGACCCAGCATGACCCTGGACCTGCCTGCCTCTGATCTCCTCTTTCTACTCCCTGTGCTCACTGCATTCCAATCACACTGGCCTTTGTCCTGCCCAGGCCTGCCTTTCTGCACAGCCCTTGTCCTGCTGCCTCGAGTACTGTCTGCCCTGTCCCATCGGTTCCTGGCTGGCTCTTTCAAATCTTTTTTTAAGATTTTATTTATTTGACAGAGAGAGACACAGCAAGAGAGGGAACACAAGCAGGGAGAGTGGGAGAGGGAGAAGCAGGCTTCCCGCTGAGCGGGGAGCACGACCCGGGGCTCAATCCCAGGACCCTGGGATCATGACCTGAGCCGAAGGCAGATGCTTAACCATCTGAGCCACCCAGGCGCCCTGGCTCTTTCAAATCTTTAGGTCTTCAGTCAAGTGTTGAAAGCCCAACTCTTTCCCTGCCACCCAGTCACTTTCTATCAGTGAACTTATTTTTTGTAGTCTTTATAACTACCCAGATGTACATTCTTTTCCCTTTTTTTGGATTTTTAGTAATGTATTTTTAAAATTTTAATTGCAGTATAGTTAACATACAGTATTATATTAGGTGTACAATATAGTGATTCAATAATTCTATACATCACCTGGTGCTCATCACAAGTGCCCTCCTTAATCCCCATCACCTATTTCATCCATCTCCCCACCCTCGCCCCTCTGGTAACCATCAGTTTGTTCTGTAGAGTTAAGAGTCTCTTTCTTGATTTGTCTCTCTTTTATTCCCCTTTGCTCCTTTGTTTTATTTCTTAGATTTCTTAGATTCCATTAATGAGTGAAATCATATGGTATTTGTCTTTCTCTGACTGACTTATTTCACTTAGCATAAAATACTCTAACTCCATTCACATCATTGCAAATGGCAAGATTTCATTCTTTTTTAAGGCTGAATAGTTTCCCACCATATCTATATCTATATCATCTATCTATCTATCATCTATCTATCTATCTATCTATCTATCTATCTATCTCCCATCTTCTTTATTTATTCATCTATCAATGGACACTTGGGGTGCTTCCATAATTTGGCTATTGTAGATAATGCACCAAGATGCTTTTATTCCTTTGAATTGGTGTTTTTGTATTCTTTGGGAAAATACCCAGTAGTGTGATTACTGGATCATAGGGTAGCTCTACTTTACATTTTTTTGAGGAACCTCCATACTGTTTCCCACAGTGGCTGCACTAGTTGAATTCCCACCATTAGTGCAAGAGGGCTACTTTTTCTCTACATCCTCACCAATAGTTGTTGTTTCTTGTGTTTTTGATTTTAGCCATTCTGACAGGGGTAAGGTGACATCTTATTGTAGTTTTGATTTGTGTTTCCCTGATGATGAGTGATGTTGAGCATCTTTTCATGTGTCTGTTGGCCATCGGGATATCTTCTTTAGAGAAATGTCTGTTCATGTCTTCTGCCCATTTTTAAATGGATTAGTTGTCTTTTGGGTGTTCAGTTGTATAAGCTCTTTATAGTTTTGGATACTAACCATTTATTGGATATTTCATTTACAAATATCTTCCCAGCTATACATTCTTTATTGGTTCACTTGTTTAATTGTGGTTTTCCCCAACTGAAATGGAAGTTCCATGAGAACAAGGACATCCATCACTGTGTTGTACCTGGCACATAATTGGTACTTAATATTTGTTGACTGACTGATAGATACTTCTTGCTTCACAAAGCTTTTCCATATACATGAACTTGTATAATCTCAGTTAAATAAGGGGATGGATTATGAAAGTCATTTTCTTTTTTTTTTTAAGATTTTATTTATTTATTTGAGAGAGAATGAGATAGAGAGCGTGAGAGGGGGGAGGGTCAGAGGGAGAAGCAGACTCCCTGCTGAGCAGGGAGCCCGATGCGGGACTTGATCCTGGGACTCCAGGATCATAACCTGAGCTGAAGGCAGTCGCTTAACCAACTGAGCCACCCAGGCGCCCCTGAAAATCATTTTCTAAGGAAGGAATGAAGGCTTAGAGAGGTGGAGGAAACTGCTTGATGTTACAGAGCCTGGAACTCAGGCGTCATCATATCCAGTTCACTATGGTCATTGTGCCTCCTTGATGCTGCTTTAAGGTGAAGATGAGGGTTTTTCTATTTGCTTCTTTTCCTCTCTTGGCCTATCTTCCCCATACCAAAGGAGAAACTGATGACTGGGTGGTTGGATCTTTTCACAAGGAGGCTTAGTCATCTTTTTGCACAATCTTGGACAGAGAACCTTTAATGAACTTGATGTAAACAGCCCCATGAGCAGCAGGAGAGCTGAAGGAGGAGGAAAATCTTGAACAGATGTCTGGTTGCTCATGGGGCGAGTCAACCCACAAGGTCAAGCCTGTCTTAGATTCACTGATCTTTGTGAAAGTCCTTATCAGGAGATAATCAGTTCTTTCTAGCAAATTTCTGGATCTTGGCATAATGTGGCAGTGGGTCTGTTCTTGACTTGTCCAGTGGTGCAGAACCTGTCAGTCGATTATTCAAGCAGCTCACTCTCCATTCCTTTTTACTCACCAGCACTCACTTCCACTTATACAGGTGGAAATATCCAGGGACTGCTTTGTATGTGTCCTTTGTAACATAGGTATGTGACCTGACCTGGCCAATCACATCTTAAGGGAAGTTTCTTGGGGAGAATGGGACCTCCTAGGAAAAAATGTAATCCAATCCAAGATAATAGAGGTGTAAGGGAGGAGAAATTCTCTGTGTGGTGATGTGATTCCTTGGAGATACTTTGGCTGTCTTGCAAACATGAGGGGAACATCATCATTTTGGTGAGGACAGCAGGATGAAAAGATGGAGAGAGCTTGGACCTTAATGACCTCCTTGAACCACTGAGCCAACACTTGAAACTTCCTCCAGATTTCTTGGAAAATGGGAGAATAAATGTCGTTTTTTGTTTCAGGTATTTTTGGTTGGGTGTTCCCTGCCAAACTTGAAACAGCTAAAAGTATCTTAAAGGACATTTCCAATTTCATCTCAGAGAGTCCTACATACAAGTTGCTGTTATTAACATGGAAACTGGGTTTGCCTAGACCTTTCCCAACTGTAGACTGGCCGAGGTCCTATGAATGGTAATAACCAGTACTTTTTTTTTTTTTTAATCTTTTTTTTTTTTTAAGATTTTATTTATTTATTCATGAGAGACAGAGAGAGAGAGAGAGAGAGAGAGGCAGAGGGAGAAGCAGGCTCCCAAGGAGCAGAGAGCCCGATGCGGGACTCAATCCCAGGACCCTGGGATCATGACCTGAGCCGAAGGCAGACGCTTAACCATCTGAGCCACCCAGGCGCCCAATAACCAGTACTTTTTCACCAGTTCTGGTCCTCACCAACATGGAGCAGCACCTCCTCTAGTCACAATCTGCCTTTTATCCACCACAAAGTCTCATCCAGCTATTTCTTATAATGTATGGGGCTGTCTCAGGTGAGTTCAAGAACCAGTCCCATGTTTTTTCTGCTTCACCTCCTTTGTTGTATCTGCTTCTTGTGAAGCCTCTTGATGGTATGTCTTCTCATTGTCATCCCTCCTTGTTGATGTGAAAGAGCACTGAAATGGGAGTAAAGAGACTTGCTTCCTATTTGGACTATGCCATTGACAAAATGGCCTTGGATGAACCCCTCTCCCCTGCTAGGCTCCAAGCACTATCTGGACAATGATGAGGTAGGTGGATGATATCATCTCTGAGGTAGTGTCTTAGCAGTGAGGTGCTGGGATCCCAAACTCCTGTCCTCAGAGCTTGGGTCTGCAGTGTGTGCCAGCTGGGAACACAGTCCCTATGTCACCTCCCTAGGCTGATGCATGAACTTAGGCTCTGCCTTCATCTGCCATGCCAGTGGGCAGAGCCAGGGACTGCCAGGAGCCCCCTAGAGGTGGTTATTTGCACTGAGGAGCTTTGCCTCTGCGTGGGGGGCTGAGAGGTGGTGGGGAGGGAAATGTGTGGGCAGGTGGCTCCTCCTCTACAGTGAAGTCAAGGACATGGCCACCTGTCTGTGCTAGGAATGCATATGCTAGGAATTTTACCTTGTCAAAGTTTCATTCTAATACAGACCTGCAGGTGGAGTAGGCTGAAGGGAGAGGACAGAGAAGGGAGAACACCAAGCAGAAGGAATAGCATGTACAATGGCCCTGTGGTGGGGGAGAGTGTGATGTTTGAGCACCTGAAAGAAGTGAATGAGGGAGATGTGGAGATGGGCTGGAGGAGGCAGAAAGTAGCATGCACAGGGTCAAGCTGGCCATGGTCAGGATGTTGAACCTATCTGTGAGACCAGTGGGGAGGCTCTGAAAGGCTTGAAGCAGAGGGGATATGACTGGACCTGTAGTTTGGCGGCAGCAAGGAGAAAGGGTAGAGAAGAGCCCAGGTGGGTGTGTGGTTCTGGGTGGGAGACTAACATAGTCACTTGGCTAAAGGTGATGGTGCAGAAACTAGACTGGTGGACAGGCATGGATGGCTTGAAATATATGTAGGAAGAAAAGCCATTTGGAACCGATTTTGCTGCAGAGGGTGAGGGAAAAGGAGGTATCAGAACTAAATCCTTGATTCTGGATACTATAGCTATGTGAAAGGTGATATTATTGGCAAGATGGGGAACTCTGGAGGAGGACCGGTCTACAAGGATGCTCAAGTTCAACTCGGATATAATGAACTTTAAGTTCATTCGAGACATCTAAGTAGGGTTTTTTTAGTGGGTTTGGTGGATCAATCCAGGCTTGCAAGCTTTGCTGGCTGTAGCGAGACAATTGTACCTGACTTTGAGAGCAGCAAGAAGACTTTGAAAGGGTTTAAGCAGATGGGAACCTGCTTGTGGCTTCATTGTGAGGATAGACTGGAAGAGAGCCAGAAAGAAGGTGTGGGGACCTCTGGAGGTGAAGGTACTTTTGAGTGCATGGCAGTTGCAGCATGGATGCTAATGGGACCACTGAGAAGAGGAGAAGCAAGGGGGAGTCACTGGCTCCTCTCTCCTATGAAATGTGGGCAGCCTTCCCTTCTGGACCTGGGCCTCCCCATTGGAAAAGAACACCTCCGTCTGCATAGCCAGGCCACCTCAGGCTTGGGCACCCCAGTTTGGGATTGCTGCACCTGCTGCCCTCCAGTGCTCTCTCAGGAACAGATCAGTGTTTCTGTTGCAAGAGAGGCCAGAGTCTCTGCAGGACCAGGGAGAGGCCCCTTTGCTCACCTGCATCCAGGGGAGAGGACTGCAGTTTGCATGAAGGAGGCAGGCAGCAGTGTACAGACGGCAGCTCTGTAATTGCATGTCTGTGCCTCACAGCTCCTGGAACACTGCATCTGGGGGCTGCTGGGTCCCAACTGGCCAGAGAGGGAAGCCAGCTCCCAAACTGGTATAGACTTCAGACTCAGTTCCAGGGAGACCAGGGCTGGGAAGGGCTGGCTTGCCTATGATTCCTTCCTGCACCTACATGGAAGGGCTGGGTGGGAGGCCCAGTCCTGCCTAGGGATGCAGCCTGGGGTAGCGGTTACACTGGGTCCCCCACTGACGGTTTCTGTCAGTGTCTGTCAACTGTTACTGCTCTGAGAGGAGATAAGTGTAGAAATTAAGTTAGTCTTCAGAAACATTATAAATTTGACAGAGCAATTTTAAATTGCTTATATAAAAAACGGGCTTGTATTTTATAGGTTTTTGTGTTTTTATTTCATTTTTCTAGAAATTCACTTTTTTAAAAAAAGATTTTATTTATTTATTTGACAGAGAGAGAGAAACAGCGAGAGAGGGAACACAAGCAGGGGGAGTGGGAGAGGGAGAAGCAGGCTTCCGGCGGAGCAGGGAGCCCGATGCGGGGCTCGATCCCAGGACCCTGGGATCATGACCCGAGCCGAAGGCAGATGCTTAACGACTGAGCCGCCCAGGCGCCCCTCTAGAAATTCACTTTTATTGTGTATTACAAAAGTGTCAGTCTGCCAACAAATGGGAAATAAAAATGAACCATATGTAGTGTGAGAAGCACTGGTCTAGGTGATCTTGGGCAGCCCCTTTCCTTCTCCAGACCTCAGCTTCTCCATATGCGGATAAACGCTGAGCATGTTTGGAGGTTTCGGGGGAGCTTTTGGCTCTGAATCCTTATTCGCTCATTCTTTCACTCAAGCACGATTCATGGGGCATCTGCTTTGTGCCAGACACAATACAGAATACAATGGCAAGAAATAGCAGAAGTGGCCCCTGCACCCTGGCAGTCAGGTGGGAGAAAAATTAGGGGCACATACGAGAGAATAGTTAGTGACACACTGGTAAGTGCAAGGAAGGAAAAGATTGGATCAACAGAGGAACTTGTCCTACCCAAAGGTCCAGGCGAGATTTCCTGAAGTGCTGTATGAGCTGGAGTTGGAGAGAACTGTAGGAAATGATTAGGTAAGGCATCTGCCTCTCAGGATCTACTTTCTACCCTTCCCCATCCTGCTCGGTGCCCAGGTGGGACTGCCTCACCAGGCTCTTGCTTCCAGCTGGGTTTGGCCACTGGGAGACATCCCCCCAAAATGAGTGCGAGGCAGCAGAGTGAGGTCATGGTACTTATTCCTCAGTCTCCCTCCCTGCCTGGGGGGGGCATTCCTCTACTTGTGGCTTCTGTGACAACCACAAGAGAGACCTATGACTGCGGAAATCTTAATAAACTGGGGGCCCTAGTTTCTGTGCTCTGAAACCCACTTGAGCATTGCACCAAGGCCATGTTTTGCATGGACTGCTTCCAGCCAGTGGCTATGGAGTAGGGATACTAAGGCATTCCTGGGAGATACAGGACTTCTCTGCTGGCTAATTTTGGCTAGAGGGCTCCCTGATAACCTTGACAAAACTTCCTTCGTCTGTACAGTTTAGGATGCTCCTACCTATCACTCCTTCCCTCTTTTCTTTATTTGGGGTCAGATTTACACCATGTCTGATCTTTCTCCCAGCCTTTCTTTGTTCTCTCCCCATTTTCTCTCATAAGTATTTTCCCTAATAAAATCCTTGCATGCTTAATCTCATCTTAGCATCTGTTTTCTGGACAACTTGCTTTTGTTGACAGGCCCTTTACCTGCAACCTCAAGCTCACTGGTTCCCAGCAACTATCTTGCCTCTTTAGGCCTGGCTGTGATTCTCACATTGCTAGTCCCTGGGTGGTGTTTCCCTTAGCCCTGCCTGCAACTTTTCAAAAAATCCCATCATTAAACTCTATTAAGTTACTGCTATAGACTGAATGTTTGTTTCCCACCAAAATTCATACATTGAAACCTAATCCTCAACATGATGGTACCAGGGATGGGGCCTTTGGGAGGTGATTAGGCTATGAGGGCAGAACCCTCAAGAATGGGATTAATGACCTTGTAAAAGAGACCCCAGAGAGATGATACCTCACAGAGAAAAGACAGTGGTCTATGAGCCAGAATGCAGGACCTGACAAGTCACAGAATCTGCCAGTGCCTTGATCTTGGACTTTCCAGTCTCTAGAACTGTGAGAAAAGCACTTCTCTTGTCTCTAGGCCACCCAGGCTGCAGTACTCTGTTATAGCAGCCTGAAGTGACCAAGACAGGTAACCTTTTTGAACATGATGCTTGTTTCCTGCCAGGTCTCCGACTGATACCATACTCCAGGCATGAGAACAGCCTGTGCAATGGCCTGATGTGTGAAGAACAGCTTGATGTGTGGATGGAACAAAAAATGGTCAGTGTGGCTGGAGTATAGAGTGCAAGGAGGGCAGGGTGAGAGAAATACAAGATGACTTGGGTCTATATTTGAAAAGTATCACAAAAAAGTTTTTTGAAGAATTTTAGGCCGAGGTAATAATATCACACTTGCACATTGTAAAGATGATATGGCTATATTATGAAGAACAGATTTGGGGTGGGCATGGAGTGGATGTAAGGAGAGTAGTTATTGGTATAGTCCAGGTGAGAGACAGTGGCTTGGACCAGGAGGGTGGCAGTGACAGTGGATAGTAGGAGATGGAATTGGTAGCACTTCAAAGTGGATTGGATACTGGGGTTTAGGAAGAGGGAGATGGAAAGAATGACTCCTAGACTTTGGCTTATATCCTTGAATGGAAGGATATAGATGCCATTTATTGAGATACTGTACACTGGAAGACAATTAGCTTTTTGGGTGTGGAGATCATGAGTTTGAACTTGGACATGCTGAATTTTGGGGTGCCATTGAGACTGCTGAGTGGGGAGATAAGTAAGTAGCTGAACCAAGGTCTAGGCAATCAACAGAGGACAAGTCTAGGGTGGAGATAGACATTTTGGTGTCATTTGCACATATAGAGGTATGAATGAGATTTCTTGGGGAGGGAATAGAAAATTAGAGGAAACAAGGTTTTAGGATCTTCATGACCTTGGATATAGCAATGGATTCTTAGATATGATATCAAGAACATGAGCAACAGAAGAAAAAATAGATAAATCGGACTTCATCAAAATTAAAAACTTTTGTGCATCAAGGGACATTATCAATAAAGTGAAAAGACAACCTACAGGATGGGAGAACGTGTTTGGTAATCATATATTTGATAGGGGTTAAATATCCAGAATATATAAAGAACTCCTACAACTCAACAACAAAAAATGAACAACTCAGTTAAAAAGATCGGCAAAGGACTTCAGTAGACATTTCTCCATAGAAGATATACAAATGGCTAATAAACACATGAAAAGATATTCAACATCATTAGTCATTAGGGAAATGCTAATCAAAACCACAATGAGATAGCACTTTTACCTATTGGGATGGCTATCATCAAAAACATGGAAAAGAAGTGTTGGTGAGGATGTGGAGAAATTGGAACTCTTGTGCTTTGCTAGAGGGGTGATTGATTGCTCTTCTGTGAAGGCTTTCTGAAGAGTGGGGGGCACAAACTCTCAGCTCCAGGGCTAGAAAGGAGGGCACCACCATTTTCATCCCGCCCATCAGCACTGAAAGCCTTCAGGGAGCAAAACAGCACCAGCTAGTGGAGGCCGGAGCTGGTTATTCCAAGCCCCACCCCTCTGTGCCCTGCAGGCGCATCTCCACTAGGACAGGTCCCCCTGAGAAGCACAACAGGTCCTTCCCCCAGAAGACCAGCACACACACGTTGCACACACCAAGTCTACTGATCATAGAGTGTTGCAAAGCTGCAGCTCTAGAGGAAATAGGATCTAGCTTCCTTCTTACTTTTATTATTCTTCTTCTTTTTTTCTTATTTTAATTCCTTTTTAAATTATTATTTTATTTTTATGTATATTTTGTTTTTTGTTTCTTTTCTTTTTTTAAAGATTTTTTATTTGTTTATTTTAAAGAGACAGAGAGAGAGAGCGCGCATGGGAGGGGGGAGGGGGCAGAAGAGGGTGAGACAGAATCTCAAGCAGACTCCATGCTGAGTGTGGACCCTGATGTAGGGCTCGATCTCACGACCCTGAGATCATGACCTGACCCGAAAGACCACAAATGCATGGAGGTTAAAGAACATCCTACTAAAGAATAAATGGGTTGACCAGGAAATTAAAGAAGAAATAAAAAAGTACATGTAAGCAAATGAAAATGAACACGACATTTCAAAACCTGTGGGATGCAGCAAAGGCATTCCTAAGAGGGAAGTATATAGCAATACAGGACTACCTCAAGAAACAAGAAAAGTCTCAAACACACCACCTAATCTTACATCTAAAGGAGCTATTTAGCAAATAAGCCTAAAGCCATCAGAAGAAGGGATATAATAAAGATTAGAACAGAAATAAACAATACAGAAACAAAAAGAACAGCAGAACAGGTCAATGAAACTAAGAGCTTGGTCTCTGAAAGCATTAATAAAATTGATAAACCCCTAGCTAGACTTATCAAAAAAAAAAAAAAAAAGAGAGAGAGAGAGAGAAAGGACCCATATAGATAAAAACATGAATGAAAGAGGAAAGATCACAACCAACACCACAGAAATACAATTATAAGAGAATACTATGAAAAATTATATGCCAAAAAACCAGGCAATCTGGAAGAAATGGACAAAATCCTAGAAACTTACAAACTACCAAAATTGAAACAGGAAGAAAGAGACAATTTGAACAGACCTATAACCAGGAGAGAAATTGAATCAGTAAGCAAAAGTCTCCCAACAAACAAAAGCCCGAGGCCAGATTGCTTCCCAGGGGAATTCTACCAGACATTGAAAGAAGAGTTAATACCTATTCTTCTATCCTACCTACTCAAACTGTTCCAAAAAGTAGAAATGGAAGGAAAACTTCTAAACACATTCTATGGAGCCAGAATTACCTTGATTCCAAAACCAGACAAAGATTCCACTAAAAAGGAGAATTACAGGCCAATATCCCTGATGAACATGGATGCAAAAATTCTCAATAAAATACTAGCAAATCAGTTGTAATTAAAAGAACTGTTGACTATGATCAAGTGGGATTTATTCCTGGGCTGCAGGATTGGCTCAGTATGCACAAACCAATCAATGTGATACACCACATTAATGAAAGAAGGTATAAGAACCATATGATCCTGTCAATAGATGCAGAAAAAACAACTGACAAAATACATCATCCATTCTTGATAAAAACCCTCAACAAAGTAGGGATAGATGGAACATACCTCAACATCATAAAGGCCATATATGAAAGCTGTATCATCCTCAGCCAATATCATCCTCAATGGGGAAAAACTGAGAGCCTTTCCCCTATGGTCAGGAACAAAACAAGGGTGTCCACTCTCACCATTACTATTTAACATAATACTGGAAGTCTTAGCCTCAGCTTTCAGTCAACAAAAAGAAATAAAAGGCATCTAAATCAGCAAGGAAGAAGACAAATGTTCACTGTTTGCAGACAACATGATACTCTGTGTAGAAAACCTGAAAGACCCACCAAAAATTTGCTAGGACTAAAACATGAATTCAGCAAAGTCTCAGGATATAAAATCAATGTGCAGAAATCTCTTGCATTTCTATACACCAATAATGAAGCAGCAGAAAACGAAATCAAGGAATCAACCCCACTTTCAATGGGGTTTCAAAAACAATAAGATACCTAGGAATAAACCGAACTAAAGAGGTAAAAGATCTGTACTCTGAAAACTGTAGAACACTTATGCAAAAAATTGAAGAGGACACAAAGAAATGGAAAAGCATTTCATACTCATGCATTGGAAGAACAAATGTCTATACTACCCAAAGCAATCTACACACTTAATGAAATCCCTATCAAAATACCACCAGCATTTTTCACAGAGCTAGAACAAACAATCCTAAAATTTGTAGGATTTAGAGCCACAAAGACCCTGAATAGCCAAAGCAATCCTGAAAAAGAAAAACAAAACTGGAGACATCATGATTCCGGATTTCAAGCTGTATTACAAAGCTATAGTCATCAGGACAGTAAGGTACTGACACACAGATCAATGGGACAGAATAGAAAAACCTAGAAATGGACCCACAACTATATGGTCGACTAATCTTCGACAAAGCAGGAAAGAATATCCAATGGAAAAAGTCTCTTCAACAACTTCTTCCCAGACACATCTCCAGAGGCAAGGGAAACAAAAGAAAAATGAACTACTGGGACTTCATCAGGATAAAAAGCTTCTGCACAGCAAAGGAAACAATCAACAAAACTAAAAGTCAACCGACAGAATGGGAGAAGATATTTGCAAACGACATATTGGATAAAGGGTTAGTACCCAAAATCTATAGAGAACTTATCAATTCAGCACCCCAAAACCAAATAATCCAGTTAAGAAATGGACAGAAGACACGAATAGACATTTTTCCAAAGAAGACATCCAGATGGCTAGCAGACACATGAAAAAATGCTCAACATCACTCATCATCAGGGAAATACAATTCAAAACCCGATTAGATACCACCTCACACCTGTCAGAATGGCTAAAATTAACAATACAAGAAACAACAGGTGCTGGTGAGGATGTGGAGAAAGGGGATCCCTCTTACACTGTTGGTGAGAATGCAAACTGGTGCAGCCACTCTGGAGAACAGTTTGGAGGGTCTTTAAAATGTTAAAAATAGACCTACCCTACAATCCAGTATTTGCACTACCAGGTATTTACCCAAAGGATACAAAAATACAAATCAAAGGGGTACATTCACCCCAATGTTGAAAGCAGCATTATCAACAATAGCCAAACTATGGAGAGAGCCCAAATGTCCATTGGCTGATGAATAGATAAAGAAGGTGTGGTATACATACACACACACACACACACACACACACTAGAGTATTACTTAGCCATCAAAAAGAATGAACTCTTACCATTTGCAATGTCTTAGATGGAGCTAGAGTGTATTACGCTAAGCAAAATAAGTCAGAGAAAGACAAATACCATATGATTTCACTCGTATGTGGAATTTAAGAAACAAAATAGATGAACATATGGGAAGGGGGAAAAAAGAGTGAAGGAAACAAACCATTAGAGATTCTTCTTTTTTTTAAAGATTTTATTTATTTATTTGTCAGAGAGAGAGAGAGCACAAGCAGGGGGAGTGGCAGGCAGAGGGAGAAGAGGGCTCCCTGCTGAGCAGGGAGCCCAATGTGAGACCCTGGGATCATGACCTGAGCCAAAGGCAGATGCTTAACTGACTGAGCCACCCAGGAGTCCCAAACCAGAAGAGACTCTTAAGGATAGAGAACAAACTGAGGGTTACTGGAGGGAGGTGGGTGGAGGATGGGTTAGAT